CGACAGAGGCTTCCTGAAGAGGGGACAACTCAAAAGGAATTTGTTCCAATTTCCTATAAGATAACAGTACATCAGTCCGGAAATTTAAAATTTCCCAAACTTTCGTGGATATGGCGGGCGCGATTTCTCGCATTCCGAATGTCTTGATTCTGATATTATGAATGAAACGGTATATCACTAACCTTAAAATAGTTGGTTCGAGGTCCCACCGCCTCTTGTCCGCTACTTAACGTTTTCAAACTAGCAGGCGATGTCTTTAAGAACAATGATGACACGCCATTTTCACTGTCGGCAGGTTTTTTGAGGGGATAAACTTTTCTGGATTTATGACATGATTTGCGCTCTGTGTATTTCATGTATTTGCTTGTAAGATCCCGCCGTTTTCAAATCTGATTAAAATGCGAAACGGACAAGAAAATTTTGAATTTGTTTTGGGATTTTTGCACTTGCGAAAAACGAGTCAAGTTTGAAAAAGAAGTTGATAAAAGCTAATCAGCATAAAAAAAAATTCTTCATTTATTTTTTTGCCTGAATCAAAAATTGAAAAACTCCTGGTGGGTTCTTTAGCTTGTATTGTTTCGTTTCTTACTCACAAACAATATGTCTTCCGTCACCCAAAAAACTTTATAGTCTTTAATTGGAAATACAGTTTAAAATCCAGTAGCATTTATTCGGCAGCACCTCTGAAAATATACCGTAACCTTAACTTGAGCACTTTTTATTAGTCATTCCTCTGAGAACGATTAGTTACCCATGCATAGATGAAACGACGAGTTAAATTGTAATCTTTCAATATAAGCTCATTTTGTAGCCAAAGTAAGAATTTTTTTCTACATAAAATAACCCCACGGGAAGAATTTGTTTTCGCAGTTATGAACTTTTGATGTGAACGTTTATGCGTTTTTCATGTTTTCTTACCTTCTGGAGATGTTCCAAGCACTACGATAAGCCAAAAATTTAGAAGCAAGATTGCTTTCATGGTGGAATTGGAGATGATCTCATTCAAGCCAGTGAATGAATTGGTGGAACTCGAAGTTTATGCTGCAAATATATACACCTGTGCAGTTGGGTAAAACAATTAATAGCCATAATTGCACTTTTAGCAATTTTTTTTGTTCCATACCCTGCATTATTTGCTCAAACAGTCAGCAATTTAAAATACTTTCAAAAATGTATTCCCCTTCCCGACAGCTTAAGTTCCGTTGGTAAGTTTAAATTGATGTTGGTGGTCGTTTAAAGAAAACATTTTTTCTTAAAAGCCCCTGAGTGACGGAAGCCAGTAGGTTTAAAAAATATTCATTGAAGGTCACTACAACAACAATACACAGCTGTTTTGACAACTCCTTGAAAATGAATGCCTGTTCTTTTTTCCGCTTAATAATTAAGATTTGGCACTTGAGCCAAACTTCTCTTTATTATGGAAAAGCCTGGTGTATGTTTTAGAATTCGATTACCTTTGTTTGTTTGTTGCACTCAGGTTAGGATATTTCTTTAAACAGCTTCATTCGAAATCACTTTGCAGCCTCTTTCCTTTGTTGTAGGAGGTATATTCAGTTATACCACATGGACACATTAGCAATTAAGCTTGACATTTTGAAACACAATGTTTGGAAAACCTCCTCTTAATTATAATTGACGTGGTACAACCTAAAAAAAATTATATCTGCTTTCTTTTCAAACGGAGCTGATACCTATTCATCGCCAATGTCGATGCAATGTTTTATTGTTGTTAAAGTCATTCAATTTCGAGAAAAAAATTCGGTTCTTCACATAGAAAAAGTTTCGTTTCTTGTCCTAGCCAGGAATACGATGATGTTACAACACCTTATTGTCCAATTTTCACTCAATTCGTCTGTCAAGTGGCCGCTTACGGGAGGTCAAAAACAAAGGAAAATTTCAAACTTTTAGCTCTAAAAGTGGTCGCGGTCGCTTATAAGAGGTGGTCGCTTACAAGAGGTTCCAAATATAGTGATTTGACTGTAAAACTATTGGTATTTTGGAAAAGTGGTCGGTGAGGAGAGGTGGTCGCAACCGGAGGTTGGAACGTACGATAAATACAAACTACCTTAGTCGATCTACATGGTGTTAAGTCGAGAAATGATCGAGTTCTTTTCTTCTCTTCTTCTCTCTGTCACTTCTCTCCCTCTCTCTCTTCTTCCTCACCTTATTCTTTCCTCCTTCCCTCCCTCTGTCCTACACATATCCCAAAATTTTATCATGGTATATTTTGCTGCCTTTGAGATATCTCACGTTTCTTTCTCCCATTCTTTGCCCCGTTTTTTCACTGATTTTATATTTGGTGGTTTTTTTCCGTTTTGCTCCGAGTTCTTACCTGAGAATAGAGTATCTTTTTCCCAAATTGGTCAATTAGAAACAAATTCAGGACTGGTGGAACAGTTTGTTCCGTAATTGGTCATTTAGGACCGTTTTGTTCCGAGCTCCTATCTGTGAATGGAACATATTGTTCCCGTTTAGGATGTAGCCCCCCCTTCCAATAACTTAAGCTAATCATTTCATCCCTGATTTACTGTAAGTCGATCATTTCTTCGCGGGTCGATTGTCTTTTGTCTGAGGAGTTTGTTATTCAGCAAGGTCGAGACTCTTTTTCTAAGAAGATTATGTTCCTTTGGTAGGTTTAAATTGATGTTAGTCGCTATCTAAAGAAAACCTTTTTTCTTAAAAGCCCCTGACTGACGGGAACAGGCCATTAAGTTTGAAGGACATTCATTGAAGGTCTCTACAACAACTATACACAGCTGTTTTGGAAACTCCTTTTTGTAAAATGAATGCCTGTTCTTTGGTTCTGCTTAATACTTAAGATAAATGATTTGGCACTTGAACCAAACTTCTTTTCATTATTAAAAGGCTTGGTCTATGTTTTATAATTCGTTTACCTTTTTTGTTTGTTGCAATTAAGTTAGGATATTTCTTAAAACAGCTTTATTCGAAATCACTTTGAAACTTTGTTCTTTTGTTGAAGGAATTATGTTCAATTTTCTACCACGCGGACACTTAACCAATCAAGCTTGACATTTCAAAAAACAATTTTTGGAAAACTTCTTCCTATAATTGACGTGATAAAAACTAAATAAGATGACATCTGCTTTATTTTCAAACTGATCTGATACGAACATGTTCGTTTAAGATTTTTGAAACCCAAAACTTATTTCCTTCGTTTCATCGTTCGTTCCTATCTTTTTTTTTTTTCATCAAATATTTGCCCCACAAAATTATAGAGAAAAAGTGACGAAGAAACATTTAAGAAACTAATGTACGTACAAGTTTAATTTAGGCTCCCATAAATGTAGACGACGATGAATACCTTAGTGAATTTACACGGTGTTAAGTCGATAAGTGATAGAGTTGTATTCTTCTCTTCTTCCCCGTCACTCTCTCACACATTACCCAAAATTGTATCATGGCGTTGTTCACCAGATTGTGAAGCTTGCTTCCATTCCACTTTTAAGTGATTATCTTACGCTTTTTTAAATTTTTCTGTAAGTCTCTGCCTCGTCTTTTCACTGATTTTAATTTCGTTGGCTGTTCCAATATTTCATGAGGGATCGACGGTTCCTCGATTTTGTGTTCCTACTAACTATAAGAGGACCAGCTTTTTGTAAGGTAATACTTTTATTTCGAGGAAAATCTCACAGATTCACTAAAGGTAGCAGGAATTTTTTCAATGGATTAAAACAATTCAAGGACAAACAAGTGACTGACCCAAAGCATGCCCCAAAGTTACATCCCTCATTTTCGACATTATCGTGTAACATTGGCAAAGTATTCACGAAATGGTTGACTGGAAGTGGTGGGGGTTTCAAGAGGAATCGTGCAGCACAACAAACAGTTACAAGATGCATCAAGTTTCTGAGTTGGATTTTGTTGTGAAGACGAGGAAGAGTTTTAACTCATTGTTTTAACGTGGTGGACTTTAGGTTGTGCTCTTCAAATTTGTTGTTCAAGTTTATCGACTACTTACAAGACGAATGCAAGCTCGGACATGGTGGATGCTATTTAATTTCTGAAATGATCGACTTCGATTCAGAAATTAAAACTTCATGGCGCGTCAGAGGCAGTTCTTGGTACGTTTGATGATGAGACTGCAGTGGAAACAAGATTTAGACCTTGACACAGTGGATGCAAGAGGCCACTGTGGAGTTTTTGGAGGTCGTGAAATTTCATCTGCCGCGCTACAAAAATACAGTGAAGATTTGGAAATCTAGTCCAGCTTAAGTTAACCCCTCAGACTTGATATTTTGCCACCAGATTTGTAGCTTATTTATGCATCTGTTCGTCAAAGTGAACGGTTCACGTCCCATGACTTATCAATATTTGACAGTGGAAATGATTGCTACAGCTTATTGGTCAGAAAACGTTCAAGACTGCTGGAAAGTATGAATTTAATTCTTTGATTCCGACCAATGCAAACATGCAAGGGCTCAATTTCTAAATCTCGAACGTTAGACCACTGCTTAAAGCCCAGTGTGATTTCGATCACCAGAAATGGAAGCCAACTTGGTAAATTGAGCGAGCTGAGATTATGAGTAAACTAGTATTTGATGCAATCGGAAAATACAATCATCCTACACGTTATAATTATCGCCAAATTGTTGAAACGGAAAGCCTCGGTCAGCTTCCCAGCGAAGAGCAACAGATTTTAAACACAGCTCTGCTGTTTCCAAAGTTCACTATAATCAAAAATGGAGATCGCGCGATGTTGCTGTGAAAGCTCACGAGTGTCTTCAAAAGCTCCCAGGAAGCAAGGGGTTCAGAGGTGGGCGAAGACGTACAGGCGAGGTTTGGTGGTTCAACTTCAAGCTCGGCACTGTTCGTTGAAATTATAGAAAATGCAAGCTTGTCTCCCCCAAAAAAGGTGTTATTCCCACTGAGAAAATGCGAACTCAGAGAAAAGCCGTTAATTGAGCTATGAACTGATCCACGAGTGTATATGCATAATGTCTACCTTTAAATTCGTAAAAACAACAAATCACAGCAGTCTATTCATCGTACATGTCCGTTTTATTTCAATGCAAATTCTACATTTTCATGTATCGACTTGGTATTTCGCTGAATTTTCAACTTAGCAATCAAATATGGCGATGTCGTCAATCGCAGCATCTCCTCTGTAGCTACTTCCTCTAATCCCTTCAAAAGTCAACTGCAACAGAAACAAAAGAAAAAATCGAGGTTGAAGAAAACAAGGCATATTTCACGTAGGGGCCAAACCACCCCCCTAATGTTTCATGAAGGCTATATTTGCTTGGTTTATATATTTCTGAACCAAGTTTTGCAGATGAGCTTTCTTTGTTCTCCAGTTTATTTCAATTTGGAAGTTATGACAAAATGTCAGATTATGACGTAATAATTGATGACGTCACCAAAACGTGCTATAATTTTTTTGTAAAATCTGATAAAAAGATTATGTCATTGGAAAGTCCTTGACTTGAGGAGTAAAATGCCGGAAACCGTTTTTAGCTATGATGATTATTTTTCGAGATATGGTAAGTTAAAAATTTTTTTGTTGTCCCCCCCGGAATTTGCTTAACCATACTGTCTTTCTTAAGTCAGTCTCTCTGGTTTATTTTTTTCAGTTTTATTCTAGGAGGGCTAATAATCTAGAAAAATAGAAAGCTTGATGTTGTCAAAAATCGTATGGTTTTAGAAATTTGATTTTCGGCTTTGTTAGGATGGTATTAACAGTAAAAAAACGGGTGACGTCACAGGTTATGACGTAACAAAACTAATTTTAACGCAATAACACTAGAGAGATAATTTTTTATTCCGATTTTCTTCTTTATTTTTGCTTTAGACATCTGGCACACCACATGTGCAACATAGCTGCATTTGCTAGAACAAAATTACGGCTCCAATTTGGGGATTTTCCTCAAGGGGGGACCACATATTTTGCAGAATTATTTTTCATATTTAAAAATGCCATATGTCATTTAATTTTTGTGATACGGACAAAATTTGTTCAGGTTTCAACTCCCCTTGATGTGCTCTTTCGAACACATTGTAAATAATATGCATATTAAAAACTTTAAAAGTGGCAAAAAACATGACGTCATCACTGTGACGTCACAAATTTGACATTTACTGACATTTTCCACGTAAATATAATTGGCAATAGGTCTCCTGTTCATCTGCCAAGTTTGGTGTAGAAACAGTCAACACTTTTTAAGTAATGTGAAATAATGTGAAATACCCAAGAACTGACGAAACATTTGGGGGGTGGTTTGGCCCCTACGTGTTTGGTACAAAACGCTGCAATGTCCTTTTAATTAAACTGTGTTTGTACAAGTAGAACACGCAAGACCTGAAGATGGCTCTGGATTCCTTTGAAGCTTCCAGAATGTCGAATAGCCCCAAAAAATTGATTCCACCGCCTGGAGAATTTCCTTAAAAGTCAAAACTACTCCTCTCAGAAATGAGGCAATAATTTGGTCCGTTGAATAAAATTTAATCTCACTTTTACTTTCAGCCTTCTGTTCGCAACCTTACGTTTGAAATAAGACACAGAAATGCTCCTGGAAACATTCAAGATCTCTTTCAAGATATTTCTGATATTCATTCTTACAATACTCGATCCTTGTCTCAAATAACTTTTACACACAAAGTTCCAGACTCTCAATTCAAGTGAACTCATTTTCTAGAATCGGAACAAAAGTTTGGAATGAAAGAAATCGTTCAAAAAGTAAAGCTAAATTTATCTTCCTCTTAGTATGTATTCATTAATATCAACAATTCGTTTTTGTATATCTGTAGTCTCTCGTCATAACTGTTGTTAATTATTATTTGTAATACCGTTAGTTTATCAGTGGTCTCTAGCTGTTGTTGTCAGTTTTAGTTTCTTCAGTTCTCTTGTTGCCTTTAGTTGTACTTAGTTGTATATAATTCCTGTAAACATGACCCGCCTAGATTAGCTCAGCTACCCGCGGGCATTTTATAATTGTACTAAAATTTTAAAACACAATAAAATGTATGAATGTATGTATGTATGTATGTATTCGCAGCACTTTCCGCCCCTAACTTTTTACGACTCTTCCACTATTTTCGAAAGAAGGCCCTCAATAGCCCAAAATAATTCTAAGCTACTTGTAACTGCGTTTTAGATCAATGCTTAAATCATATCATTAATATGTAAGAAATAATAAATAATACTAATAACTATGGAGAAATAAGGTAGATTTTAGCAACAAGAGCTGGCAACATTGAACTGAGAAGAATGCATGTCCCTGATAATATCCGGCCTAAAGCAGGGGAGGAATCTCCTCTTAAAGTAGGGAAGACATCATCATTTAGTGTGGGAAAGGTTAAAATGTGACAAAGTTATGTAGTCTGTCCTGCATCGCATTTGACGAAACGCTAAACATTAGCAATTTTCACTTATAAAACCTCGAAAACAAAATGCCCCGCGCTCTCATGAAAATAGGGAGCTTTCAAAGAAATGACGGAGGTGATGCAGGGGACGACGCCTAGTAAATAATATATTAATGTTTTACCATCGAATTTCGTAACTATCTGATTCTGCTCAGTACGTCAGTGGGTCTTAAAACATGCCCAAACGAAATATGTAATGCCAGGGATATGAAAAATTTGACGTCGTGGCCTGCGTTCTCCAAAATACGCAAACCTTGGTCATTTCACGTTGTCATTTTGCAGAGGACGGCTACAGAATGTATAAAGATTTAAAACGCACGTGCATAGCCATTGTTCAGCTGCTAATGAACCTTTTTTTGGTCACGTTTTCGCTGCCGTTGGCGTCGTGGTTTGCACTCCCTAATAAGACTGGTTACTGGTAGAGTGAGTAGTGAACAAGTCAGACACCTCCAAGCTACCTCAACCCGGGGGCTACTCCCTTACATGGGCTATATAGGTATGTGCGGCCCCAAAGGGTAGGGTTTTTCAGCCGTTTTGGTCATAGATAAGGTAGCGATTTTGGCCATTTTGGTTATAAATAGCGTATGGTTCTAGCACTCTTGTCTTGAATTGGGTATGTTTCTTAGAAGAAGCTACTTTTTGATCATTATCAATAAGACCTTCATAACTTATGTTTAGGGCAACTGTGTCAACCTCAACGGTCATAAATAGGCTATCGAATTTTTTGGTTAGGGCATAAATAGGGTAGCAAAAAACGCAGATTTTGGTCATAAAAAGGGTAAGGGTTTTGGGAAGTGGACCACACACCCCCACCCAACTTTTCTAGAAGTACCCCCCTCCGGGTACCTTAAGAACCATAACTGCGCTTACCTTTCTAATTCCTTTTCCTTTAAGACTAATTTGTTTCATGTGCCATTTGTCTCCCTGGTCTTCACTCTTGTTGAAAATCACTTGACCGGATAGCTTAACCTTAAGAGTTCCCATGTTGTTTCCATACATGTGGTAATAGAACCTCAGGCAAGACTCTCCAGACAGTGAAACCATTCGGGATATTTTGGCACTGTCACCAGGTTCACGCGGACTGGAAGCCTCAATGTATACGTAATAACCTGAGACACAGGAAGCGCTTTATTACGCGTACTGTTTATAGTCGAAGAAACAAAGTTAAAAATACAAACAATGTTGCTTGATTCATCATTATTATCATCAACATCATCGTCTCCTCGCGCCAGTTTGGCCGTTGCTTGGATAATCTCAGTAACTAAGAATAACATAATAATATCTTAAAGTAACTTATCATACTGACAGCTTTGGCGACTAGGTGTTTTCTTTGGTCATGATTTATGTAAATGCATCCGGCTGTTAGTATGATTCTTGTCGTGTCCTTATTCAAACGCTTCAATTTGACTGGCTCTATTGCACAATTCATTTCTGCTTCAACGGTGGCACTGAGCAGCTCCCGTCTGTAGCGATAAAAAAAGGATATGTACCCTGGTGCGACTTTAAAAACTCACAATACTTGAATAAACCAGAAAGGCCACAAAGCTAAATTTTTCGATATGAGAGCTTCGTCCAAAGCAATTTTCGGCCTCACTAACTGACACCTGGAGTTCATAATTTAATTGATATTTAAATAGAGTATTAAAGACCTTTTCCTGAAGTGTTATCCTGTTTTGGTCCTGTGCCACCAGAACGTGTATTCCCGCTATGTCGTCTCCAGTCAAATTTGTCATCTTTGTCTTGCTTGAAACCACAGAGGCTCTTATCGAAATTGCAAGAAAAAGCTGTTTTGGAGAAAGTGGTAAATCAGCATCAGTAGCTATTGAAACGAATGTATCACATTAATATCGATATTGAAAGCGTTGCGCAAACTTTTTCCGGAATGTCCGGAGGGAAATTGTTTGGTCTTTTTCCATCATATTATATCCACTCATCTTGAGCTTTAATGTTTTTTCGCAGCTTCCTTTATCCTTCAAAGAAACTTTTCGTTAAGTTACTTTAGTAGGAGGCTTCAGCTCTAGGAGCATTGTTAGAACTCATGATCATCCACGTCGCAAAGCCGCAAAAACAATAGCAACCACACAAAAATTTAAGCTTGGACAATGGAGCCCTCAGAGTGTTTGACTAAACAAAATTTCCTATTTACTGTAAAATGCTGCGTGGATAAATTCCTCAGGGGAAGCAACGGGCCAATTTGCCAGAATTCATCTGGGATCACCATAGCCACGAAATAAGCATTTCAATTTTGGTGAAATTTTTCTAGCCGCTGGCAGATTTATTCATTTTTAATTCTCCCATCAGAATACATCACACAATTTTTACTCTTTTTCTTTGTTTGCTATTTTTATTTCTGTTTTTCACTTTGCTAGTCGGCCGACATATCATCCGAATCTGCACACACACTCAAAAACACTTTGGGTGTGGCCCCAGGACCTTATGTACACCTTTCATACTTTCTCTAGTGAAAGAAATGACATCCCGTGAAGCAGGTATCATTTACCAAATCAGTCAGTGTATATATCGATATTGGAAATATCGTACAGAGACTACATGTTCTTGCAAATTGAAAAGATTGCATCTGTCCTTCGTCTAATTAATCAAATACGGAATCGTATATCTTTTACCCTGGTGTTAGAGGCGTGCCCCTGGAAGTACATGTGTATGCACAACACTCTGCAAGATGCAAGATGCAAGCCTTCACTTTCAAAAGACACTCATACTTCGAGGTACATTCGTTCGAACACCGCGGTATTTAAGTGCTCGCACTATAGATAGCCTAATCAACGTAAAGATCTCTATCAATAACTTAAAATATATTAATAACTTAAAGTGATTGGCAACGATCGAACAATAGTGGAGAGACCTAAAATCTCAATGGTTGCCTGTTCGACAGTTACAGTAGCGGAACAAGAGTTAAATCCTCAATTTTTGCAATCATTAGCCTCTTTACCAAGTCTGTTTGGCATGTTTTGTAAAGTGATATCAGATTGCAGCAGCTGAAAGGACGTGTGACACCTGGATAAGTAACGGAATAAGTTGATATCACACGGTATATATACTCACATGCAGTTGGTGGAGGGGTTACTCGGGGTGGCGGAGTTTGAGGATTTACTGAAATACAAGTAGAGAAATAACTTGATCAATTAATTAAAGTTAATAATAACAAGCTAGGCTATAATTTACCGAACCCCTTGCGCGATTGATTGTTATATCCATGAAATACAACCTGCTTCTGATTATCTGCAGTTACTCACCTGATGATCCGCTGCACTTGTACAGTCTCTTCATTTGTTCGATGTCGACAGGACTAAGAGCCACTCGGTTACCAATAGACACCTAGCAGTTAAATATACCATATTTTACGTTATAACCTACGCTTAATTTTTGCGCAATTCTATTGGCTACTTTACGTCACGTGGTGCAAAATTACTGGGAAGTTATCAAGCAATAACCTCCGCCTGCGTCGATAGCTGCCCTGCGACTGTTTCTGTCGAAAAGAAACAAAGCTAAAAAGACTAAATCCAACCCTAGAATTTCACCTTTCCATCTTTATTATTTTTCATGGAAGAAAAACAAACTCTTTTCGTGGAATCCGCTGATAATGACATTAGAAAAACTGGTCGCCAATGCTGTTCCGATAAGTACAGAAGAGTCAATAAAATATGCAGAAAATTAATGGGAGGGTTATAAAATAAATAAACCCCTTTCTGGCTCGCTGGTATGTTGGCTGATAATGTCCTTGGCTGAGAGCTTGTCCTCAAAATTTAACATTTGCCGTCGAAGCTTCGCTTCTCGGCCAAATATTCATTTTTCGGACAATATCTCAGCCGCGGACATTATCAGCCGACATACCAGGCGCCAGAAGGGGTTTATTTGCTAAATAACTACTGAAATTCTCGCGCACTTTTTGGCTAATCTGTATTGGCAATAAGCGGACAGACACATGAATTTACAATTTATGCGATGTGTCAACGAGCGAGAGTGGATAATTTGACAATCTGTTATTGTAAAAACGAATTGACGTCAGTTTTTCGGGCGTCTGTCCTGTTATTGACAATGAATTTCGCCATAGCATTGTCAAAGTAGTCTGCGGATCTACTCGTCCATCGCCTCGTGGATTCACAGGACTGACGCATGAAAAACTGACGTCAATTTGTTAATTCGACGATTATAGTGATATCCCATATACCTTACTAGGCCCAACCCAGGCGATAACTTCTTAGTTGCTGATAACTGAAAGGAGTAGTACTGGTCTAGTTGAATACAGAAGTGTTTTTGAAACAAAACACGTTGACGATAGTTTCAGTTGGAGTGAAGGCAAGGCAAATCGAATTGTTTCGTCTTTGATACGAATTTCTAAATAGCACTGTGGATGAATTCATCTTAGACTTGTTACGTTTGATGCTGTTCGATGACACTCTTGAAGTCGCATAGAAGAAACTGTGGAATACCCTATACTCGGGTGTTCGCGCTTGAATTACGACATGCGGAGAAACGATGAGAAAGAAGAACCGAGTTGATTAATACTGTTGTCTACTCACCCCAGCTTTCTTTGGCACAATGGTCGGCTTTCCATTTTTAGAGAAGTACCTCGCCCCATAATGCATGATCGACCCATAATCATAGGGCGTCCCCAGCGAGTCTGTGCTATATGACTTTCGGAAATTTCCTTCGAAACCTGGAAGTAGACGCAAAACGTTAGAATGATGTTCCTCTTTTTAGCAAACTTGAGCGATTTAATTTACGTTTGCCCTCCTCTTAGACTAAATCTACTGTTTTATCACATCATCGATAAAAGATAATAATAATCATCATCGTCATCACAATTATCCCATATTTCGCCAGGGTAGACCGGTCGGCATAAGCTGTTATCAAAGAGTGCCTCGGGCAAGTTAACTGATTAATCCTAAGAATAGATGGCAATGTACTCAGTATAAGGTAAAAACCTATATAACAATTAGTCAATCTATGAATTAAGCGCAATTGCACAAACTTGGAAATGCTCTAGAATTAAAAAAAAATTACATTAATCATAAAATATCGTTTAAATAAGAAAAATGAAAATGATGGCAATTTATTCAAAGCTAAGGCTTCATGATAAAAACAGAATTTCTTTGCAGATTCTGTGTAAACTTTATGGGTTGTGAAAAGCTGATAAAGTTTGGCGTGATCAAAATACCTACCCGACCGAATGTTTTCAAACTTGATTTCGACATAATTGTCTCTGTCCGGGCGCGATTGTTCGTGAAGAAATCCAAGAGCATGTCCTAAAAAAAATAATAAAAAGCATACAAATATACGGTGATTGATCAATCTAGTGATTGATCGATCGACTGATTGATTGATAGATTAACTGATTGATTGATTGATTGATTGATTGGCTGGTTGATTGACTGATTGACTGATTGATGGATGGATGGATGGATGGATCATCGATCAATCGGTCGATTGTAGTTGTTTTATCGATTGACGATGAATGAATTGATTGATGGATGAATGGATGGATTGATAGATGCATGGATTGACCTACAAACTGACTGACTGATTGATTGATTGATTGATTGACAGGTTTTCGTAATCCGATCTGTTTTTCTCTCCTTTATTTTAGGTGGCTTCTGTCCATCTTCGTTAGGGCTACAGTGTTAAACATTCGTTATTTCCCCCGCTACAAGCCCGTGTGCTGTCGTTTCACTGATTTTGAATCAACGGTATGTAAGCACGATGGAGCGTTTTCCTCTCGTTAACGGCGGTGGGTTGCCTAGAGTCCAAGAAAAGCCTCTTGTGGTAGTTTGCCACACCGCGTTCGAAGATCTGGGCGTCCCTTGGGTAGATGTCAAGATCCGAGGACCCTGCATGCTGTTTAATTGCTGATTCGCTGTTGCTAGCGTAGCCTGAATCATGCTCGGCTTTGCGCGAACTGCACCGTGGCGCTTGTTGTCCTCGACACTGGGCTATAAATCCCTAAACACTGGGCTATATATACCTAAACACTAGTCTACATATACCTCTCAACATATCTTCCCGCCCCTGCCCCAAGTTGATGTGCCAAAAACGTACTAAATAATACAATACTTTAAATATTTTTACTTATGAAAAATATACGAGCTTCATTTCTTCAATAACGGAATCTATCGACTGCATATTACATAATGAGATCTTTCATCCAAATTTCATCGATATTCAATTGACTGACATGTAGACGTTCTCGTCAATACACGTGCGAATTAACTATTCTAAACTCACCGATTTCATGAGCGATGGTTCCATGACGCCAGCAACCTCCTGAGAGGGACAGTTGTTGCTTGTAACCATTTCTTCCAACATAGGACCAGCACCTGTTGGTTAAACATTAAATGAAAAAAACGTAGTGACGCAAGATAAAATATATACATGTAAAACTCCCTTTTTTCGCTGAGATGGGGTCCGGGAAGGCAAGCAGATAGGCACCGTGGTTAAGCCGTCAGGGGGGCAATATTACAAGACAGCAATCACCGGCAAACTGTTTGTACACAGGCCTAATAATCTTCCTCGATCTTCCTACCCCCTTTCAGTGTTACTTACAAGCTAACATGCACCGAACAAGAAGTTATGGCGCGTTGCGCTATCCAAACATGCATGGGGTAAAGTGAAGTGGTTACTCCAACGACTTATGACAATGATTATAGGTCTGAAGGTTTGAAAAATAGAATCTTTTATTCAAATTTCAACAAATATCACGAGCTACACAACTTAAAATTATCTTTACTAGACGCAAATACTGTTTTAAAGAATTCGAATTCCAATTACATGCAATTGTTTCGTGTATCATCATAATTCCTTCTCATATGATCGACAAATCGAGTTCAACCTAACTAATTGTTGTACGTACTGTCTAAGTGACATCTTCCGTACGAGGTAAAAGAGGGTGGGACCTACCCGTCACCTCTGAAAAAGGACACATATGCCTGTTCGTCTCCTCTTCGTTTCCGAAATTTTATGCAGCCCTGTGTTTTGACAGTCCAGGCCCTCATTGCGCCATTTATCGCAGACATCGCGACGGCTTCCTTGACTAGTAATAAACAAAAGAGAAAAACTTTTAGTGCTAGCGGCGTCCAAGGCGGTCGATTTTTTATCTTCCAACCAGCGAAATACAACAATCCTAGGGGGTGTTAAAAATCTTTAAAAATCATATCTTATCGGCGCAATGAAGCCAAAACAAATTTCCCTCTTTGTACAAGAATCCTATCTTAAGAAGAGGGTCCGGATAGAGGTTAACTGATAATTGAGAATGGGGTCAATTCAATTAAATTCAATTAATTTACACATATTTTAGTGACATAAAATTCATTTAATTAACAAAAATACAAAATCAGAAGACAAATTATGTAACATAACAGTTTGCTATCAACTGAAAATAGAAAAATTATTCAGCAGATGGCATGCAGTCTGACATCTGAAACAATTTTCGGAGAGTTAAGAAATGGGCTGAAAACTGAGAAAAACCTGAAAATTCAACCGATAACTGAGAATTTATCACCCTCATCCAAATCTCCTTAGAACGTTTAAGCTGAGAGGCCAACCTTTTGAAGTTAATCAAGTTCGAAGTTTGGGAAAGAACTTTAAAAAAATTTCTACTGTTACCGAATGAACAAGGGCATGTACATTACGAAACAAGACCAACAAACGTGGCTCAAAACAAACCTGGGGCTCCTTTCTCGTCGCACCCGGAAAGCCTTAGCAAAATCTCAAACCTTATGTTTACAGGGCTGTTTTATTCATATAATTTTAATATAGTCAGAGGTTCTTGTCATGCAAGAATTTTCAGGAGTATACACTTCTCTGCTTTTAGATGCAGATTCAGAACTAAAAATGGCTTTGCGGGCGTGAAACGTTTCCGGGGCTTTCGAGAAACGGGGCCCCGGGGACAAATGCTGCTACGTACACGTGACGTGAAAGCTTTATGGTACAATTCCATTGCGCGACTACCTACCCTTGCGCCTTGTCCTTAAAATCGGAAGGATAGGAATATTTCCACATTCTAATCAGCTAACAATTAAAAACATAACAATAATAGAATTTTTACTCACGTAAGGACTTGTCAATGTCATAGACAAACACTCCATTGGGCCACAGTCGGTTTGAAATTGAACCTCTTGTCTGCCCAGGTGAGAACTTCATGTCACCTTCAACCAATTCGTCATCCCTGGTGTCGCCGTTCTCTGATCAGAAAATGATTGATATCAAGTGAAGCGCGGCTACTGAATAAACTGACTCTGATCAACAAGATATATTTCTTCGTCGTACAGTGTAGATACGTTTTCGTATAATGGCTTGAAATGTAACTGACGCATAGAGCTGTCCCGGATTAAAAGAAATTAACTTACTCTCCGTTTGGGGTTGAACGTAAATTTGAAGAAAAAATGCTTATAGGACCATAAAAATGTTTATAGGAAAATATGAAATTCCCTGAAAAACATAGCAGAATTGCCTGACGAAGAATGAACACAATAATTAAAACCTAGATTACAGGAAACACCACCAAACTTTCAAGAGCTTGACTTACAGAGTTTTGCTAAATCTAGGCTCTGCGAAATGTGAAATTTAATTCTTTCATCATTGAAAGTTTGCTTTCATAATTTCGAAACTTAAGTCCTTTTTAGTTATTATAGTTTCAAGTCAAGCAAAGGCTTATAGATTTTGGCAATGCTGATAACATAGTCATATTTTTACTTTTGATCAATAAATCCTCTTTAGTCTCCTTCAAACTGAAGTCTACTATCTTTGTTACGTTACAAATGGTTATATCTAATGATACGTTTCTTTGCGATGATACGAATCAGAAAGAATGGTCCAAGATTCCCCGGTTCATAGTGCATCAAAGGAGCTGATAACTCCTTGGCACAGTGGGCTTCATCGGTGCCTTTAATGCGCCATGCATGATACGAGTAATCTTGGATCATTGATACTAATCCAGGTCTTCCCAAATAAAAAAACGTTTCTTTGAAATGACCAGGATCAGAATCAGGATCAATGATCCAATACCACTCAGATCATGGTGCATCCAGGGAGCCGATGAAATCCACTGTGGACAAAGCGTTATCGGTTCCTTTGATTCACCATGGTCCGAGTAGATCACTCGCGTCGCTTTATCTCTCGCAGGGCATTCAGAATTTTTTCGGCTGCGTTTAAATTAAAGGAAATAATATTAATCAGTTTTGTTTTTATTTTGTAAATGTTTCAACTATGAATTTCTGCTTTCAAACATTTTAATCCTTCTTACCTTCTGGAGATGATGCCAATGCTGAAACAAGCCAGAAAAAATTGAGTAACAACTTTGCCTTCATGGTGTACTCGTAGACGATGCGAAAATGGTATAAGTGATTTAATGGTGGAGAGTCTTGTTAAGTAGAAATTGAACTTGCTACATCTGCTTTAAATACAAACAACCATTAGCCATATTTATATTTTGACACTTGTGCTTTGTCCATTTTTTTAGTCTTAAGCACTTAATGACTGGCCCGAAAGAACCAGTGAGCTTTGTTTTACCCCAGATGCTCAATGTTCCGCGGGGAGAAGCGAGAAAAGTATTTGCTTGAAATTTGCTGCTATTTCAAGGTGGACGTTCACGTTTTTTCCCTAGGAAGTTAGTGAGTTTTGACCCATGACACATGACACGTTCTCGTGCGATCGGAACACGTATTTGATTTGGGCGGTATAACAATATAATATGTTTAATTGCACTCTATAAACACCAGGTATTTAAAAACTTATTGTAAGTGGAACACCCTCGTTGATCCTAAATAAGTCAATTATTTGTAGTTGTTAGATTTAAAGAGCCATTTACACAACTGTATAAAAGCACCTTTGTAAGAAATATGTATTCTTTTGTTCTATTGATATATGGTCCATTCAATGTCACAGAAACTTCTTTGTATTCATAACTTTTAAGAGTTTTTGGCAATCCTTGATGCTAACTACAGTCTTGACAACAATTACCTATAAGTATTTTATTTGACTGTGAATTACCTTGGATTGTTTTTGTTGTTTTGATGTTTTGTGTTATGAAATATTTCGTTACACAGTTGTCCCAAACAACTTTGTAAAAATGGGTTTCTTTGTCTTAGTTATTATAACAAGTTGCGTCGAACATATTGTGAGGAGTAAAGCTTCCCTTAACATACCCGGTTTGTGTATTGCTACTTTCATTGCGTGGAGATTTCATTACACAGCTGGAACGAGAAAGCTCATTTGCAAGAAATAATTATGTTCAAGATATCACGTTTTCTTATACTGCAGAGTCATTTTATGTGGCTATTTAAGTTCTTTTTAAGTTATTCACTTTATTATAATCATCTCAATACCAACAAAATAAAATGCCATTTCTGAATTTCTGCTAGAAATGCAGTTTTCACGTGCACGTAAAAGTTAACCCAGCTGAATACGACTTCTTTTACTCTTTTAATTTACCAACTGGAACATTTTTCCATATCAACTTGGCAAATAAGAACAAAATTTGCCTGTATTACTCATAAAAATCCAGTTTAGCCAACCAACTACAGTATTTGAAGAAGAATGGTACATAAAAACAAATTGATCAATGACTTCTTTCAGCTGATAGCAGCGGAAAAGTTTGGGATATTCTGAAGCGGCGTATTTGATCATCTGTAAGTTTCTTTTTTTCTCGGGACAGCAATAACAAAGATTTAGCTATCAGAGATTCACAAGATAATTTCATTTTATTTCTTCAGAGAGCAAATGAAAACAAACTGGTCGCTGGTGTTAATTATATGTTTTTGTTATCACGCCTTATGTCTTCATGAATTGAGACTTATATCAAATTAGCCCAAACTTATCTTCCTAAATATATCTTAGAAAGATACTGAGAATAAGGATAATTTCATAAATACGAATTCCGAATAGGACCCTCACTTCTGGCATGACTGTGTTGTGTTTTGTTTTACCGTCATATTGCTTTTTCACCGACGGGAGAGGGGAGGGGAGGGGGAGGGTGTAAATGGGAGCAGGTGACCTCCCAGGCCAACCTGACACAAATCCGGGGGTACCAATCAAAGGTGGCAAAGGGCTTGTAAGTTACACGTGATGAGGACAAAATTCGTCATTTCCGAGTTGACTTTTGCCTCTGTTTCAAAACGAGTCTTCGTGCGAAACCATTCATATGAAAGTGTGTTCCGCCTACAGGTTCATTTTCATGCACATCAAACTCATTTTCACATGAAAGGTTTTGTGCAAAAACTCGTTTTGAAACAGAGGCACAAAGTAAGTCGAAAATTGCCTATTAAGGTTACAGTATACCTTCAGATCGGCAATTTTCTTCAAATTTGGATTTTTGGTTCAA